GGTGTTTTTGCTTAGAAAGGCCCCCTTGTCTCAGCCCTGCAGGGCAGGCATGCTAGTCTCTGCCTGTTCCATTGCCCCCTTGATTTTTGAAGGAATCCTCAGGCCCCTCGAAGCATAAGGATATTTTGTAAGTTTCCAGAATCTGGCCCAGAAATTAGGGCTCAATTTCCTGATTATAGTAGAGGTGACGATTGCTAAGATTGCTGTGAGCCCTAACAGACAGGGGCCGAGGGAAGTAAGCTGGGTCTTGTTATTCCTTGGGTGTTGGTGGAATAAGCAGTGGAATTTGAACAAGGAAGAGGAGAAAAGGGAATTTTGTCTTTATGGGGTGGGGGTGATTTTCTCCTAGGGTTATCTACAGTTGGGGTTTTTAAGGCCCCACAGACTGTCAAGTGCTGTTTTTTTACCGACTGAAATCACTTTGGGATATTTTTTTCTGCAACACTGCAAAGTTTTAGTTTTTTAAGTACTCATGCATATATATGTGTATATATACACATATATACATATACATATTTTTTATATATACATATATATGTATATGTATATGTATATATACATGTATATATACATATACATATTTTATATATATGTATGTATACATATTTTTTTTCCTTTATTGGGTCTACACCTCCATCCTTGATCTTGGCGGTGCTATTTTTGCTGTTAGTTGGGTTAGAGTTGGACTGGGGGGCTGGTAATTAAAGATTGTTAAAAAAAAAAAAAAGACTATCACAAAAATAAAAATAAAAAGGCTAGGCATGGTGGCTCATACCTGTAATTCCAGTGTCTTGGGAGGCCAAGGCAAGAAGGCCAGCAGTTCAAGACTAGCCTGGGCAAAATAGTGAGACCCTGTGTCTATAAAAAAAATTAAAACGAGTATCACCAGAGGCCGGGTGCGGTGGCTCACATCTGTAATCTCAGCACTCTGGGAGGCCAAGGTGGGTGGATCACCTGAGGTCAGGAGTTCAAGAGCAGCTAGTCAACTTGGTGAAATTGTCTCTAATATATATATATATATATATATATGTGTGTGTGTGTGTGTGTGTGTGTATGTGTATATATATGTATACATATGTATGTGTATATATGTATACATATGTGTATATATGTATATATGTATATACATATGCATATTTATGTGTGTATATATATATATATTAGAAATTTTCTAATATATATATTAGAAAATTATTTATATATATATTAGGAAATTATTTCTGGTGAAACTCATGTGTAATATATATATATATATATATATATATATATATATTACACATGAGTTTCACCAGAAATAATTTCCTTCATAAGATATAACTGCTTTAAGTTATATCTTAAGGGGTGGGAACCCCTTAAGACTGATATACCTGATTACTTTATGCTGTAATTATAGGAAGGTAAATAGGAGAGAGGACCACCAAAAAAGGAGAGGGCTGCCCCATGTTGTTGTTTCACTGCTTCAAAGGAGTTCTTAAGGAAGCATAGATTGTCCTAAGGGGCACTGCTCTCTATGCTATCTGAGTTTTGGGCTTTGACCAGCAGGGAAGCATGAAAATGAGGAGAATACTAAAGAGGGTTAAGCAACAAGCACTTGGGTGACAGGAACATTTGCACACCAAGCCTCAGTGACATGCAATTTACACATGTAACAAATCTGCACATGTATCCCCCAACCTAAAATAAAAGTGGAAAAAAGAAAAAAAAGAAACAAGTAAAGAGTATTCAAATGAGTAGTGGAAATAAAGCAAACCCTACCTCTTTCACATGTACAGGGAAATAAGAAACTTGTAAGGTGCAAGGGAAAATAGGCTGGGGCAGATTTTCTCACCTTCAGCATTAATGCCACTTGGACCTGATCATTCTTTGTTTTTGAGTGGGGTGGCAGGGCTGTCTTGTGCACTGTAGGATGTTCAGCACCATCTGTGGCACGTACCCACTAGATGCCAATGGAACATCCAACCTACCCCCATGAAAAAATGTGGTAAGCCATTGCCAAAGTCTCCCGGGATATGAAATGGTTCCCAAGTTAAGAACAACAGGATTAGTGTATTTGTTATCTATTTCTGGATAGCAAATTATCTCCCAAATTTAGTGGCTTAAAAGAACAAACACTTATTTTACAGCTATAGTTGTTATGGGTTAAGCATTTGAGAGTAATTTAGTTGGGTGGTTCTGGTTCAAGGTCTCCAATGAGGCTGCAGTCAAATGCAATCATCTGAAGGCTTGACTTAGGCTGAAGGATCCACTTCTAAGATGTCTCACTCACATGGTGATGGCAGCAGGCCTCAGACTCTGGTGGTTGTTGGCAGGATGTCTCAGTTCCTTGCCATGTGGGCTTCTACACAGGGCAGCTTCATGTGTCTTTGCCATATGGCAGCTTAGAATGATCTGAGAGAAACTGGGAGAGGCTCCATGATGCCTTTTTATGACCGAGTCTTGGAAGTGACACACTATCACTTTTGCTATATTATGTCTATTAGAAACAAGTCACTAATTACAGTCCATATTCATTTGGAAGAGAATAAGGCCCCATTGTTTTTTTCTCTTTTTTGAGAGAGAGAGAGGGTGTCTCACTCTGTCACCTAGGCTGGAGTGAAGTGGCGCAATCTTGGCTCACTGCAACCTCTGCTTCCTGTTTTGTTTTGTTTTTATTTTTTTTGAGACAGGGTCTTGCTCTTGCTCTGTCACCAGGAGTGCAGTGATGCAATCATGACTCACTGCAGCCTTGACTTCCTGGGCTCGAGTGACTATCCCACCTCAGCCTCCAGAGTAGCTGGGATTAGAGGTGCACACTACCATTCCCAGCTAATTTTTTTTTATTTTTAGTAGAGATGAGGTCTCACTACATTGTCCAGGCTGGCCTCAAACTCCTGGGCTCATGTGATCCTCTCACCTTGGCCTCCCAAAATCCTGGGATTACAGGCATGAACCACTGTGCCTGGCTAGGCTTCACTTTTTGAGGGCAGACGTACCAACACATTTGTAGACATATTTGAAGAAATTTTTTAAAAAATTCTTAAAAGTAGAATAGAGACAGCATGCTTTAGTCTGTTCTTGTGCTGCTAATAGAGACATACCTGAGACTGAGTAATTTTTATAAGGGAAAGAGGTTTGACTGACTCACAGTTCAGCATGGCTGCAGTGGCCTCAGGAAACTTACAATCATGGCAAAAGGGGAGGCAGACACATCCTTCTTCACACGGTGGCAGCAAGGAGAAGTGCTGAGGAAAAGTGGGAAAAACCCCTTAAAAAACCACCAGATCTTGTGAGAACTCACCCACTATCAGCAGCAGAGCATGAAGGTAACTGCCCCCATGATTAAATTACCTGACATTGGGTCCCTTCCATGACACGTGGATATTATGAAAAACTACAGTTCAAGATGAGATTTGGGGCTGGGTGTGGTGGCTCAGACCTGTAATCCCAGCACTTTGGGAGGCCAAGGTAGGTGGGTCACTTGAGATCAGGAGTTTGAGACCACCCTGGCCAAGATGGTGAAATCTCGTCTCCACTAAAAATTTAAAAAAATTAAAATTAAAATTAAAATTAACCAGGCTTGGTGGTGTGTGCCTGTAATTCCAGCTACTTGGGAGGCTGAGGCAGGAGAATCACTTGAACCTGGGAAGTGGAGGTTGCAGTGAGCCAAGATCACACCACTGTGCTCCAGCCTGCATGACAGAATAAGACTCCACTTAAAAAGAAAATGAGATTTGCATGGGGACACAGCCAAACTGCACAGGGTTTTCTCATGTTGGCCAGGCTGGTATCAAACTCCTGGCCTTAAGTGATCCACCTGCCTTGGCCTCCCAAAATGTTTAGGACCTAGTTTTAAAACGTGATTATGCTGAGTAGTTGTAGGCAGTGGAGAGGGCGAAGTTAAAGATGTGCCAAGGAGGCCAGGTGCGGTGGCTCATGCCTGTAATCCCAGCACTTTTGGGGGTCGAGACGGCTGGGTCATGAGGTGAAGAGATCAAGACCATTCTGGTCAGCATGGTGAAACCCCGTCTCTACTAAAAATACAAAAATTAGATGGGCGTGGTAGTGCACGCCTGTAGTCCCACCTACTCGGGAGGCTGAGGCAGAAGAATCACTTGAACCTGGGAGGCAGAGGTTGCAGTGAGCAGAAATCGCTCCACTGCACTCCAGCCTGGTGACAGAGTGAAACTCTGTCTAAAAAAAAAAAAAGTGCCAAAGTACTGCTCTCAGTGGAGAGCAGGCAGTGGAGTGGGCAGGGACATCTAGCTTCCCAGACAGAAGGAAAACAAGTGTGGACGTAGGGATAATCTATGGGAGAGTTGATGAGGTGGTTGGGTAAAAATTGTAGAAATCCATGCCTGAAGGCTTCTGCTTCTCTGAAGTAGAAAACCGGATCATGTGTTAAGTAATGCGGTTCCACTAACTTCTATTTGCACATTGGCCTTTCTTCTAAAAGCAATACACATAACCAATAGCACCTCCTAAACCAGTTGACTTTTCTGTATAATGGAGACAGTAGACACTTCTTTACGGGATTGTTGTGTGAGTTAATTGTGCCAACACGCGTACTTGCTTAGTAAGCATCAGCTTTATCGCTGGGCTGATGTGAGTGAGGGCACGGGGGATGAAGGTTTTGATTAATAAATAATGGACTGCAAGTCTTCGAGTATGACCATGGATAAATGCAATTATTTACTCTTGGAATGGGTTCTAAGTCAAACCCTCAGCTAGGTCAAGGAGTATTTATGAACAGCCTACTTTCGCCCCAGGACCTTAAGAAGTCCTGCTCTGGAATCGGCCACTTACCGGAAAGTCGAGTTCTCAGGGCCCAGCGCGATCTTAGAACAGCCTCTTCCCAAACCTCAGCGGCGGCCCCGCCCCTTCCACAGGTTCAGGCCCCGCCCTTCCCCGCTATTGGCTGTCCCTCCCCTTCGCGGGACCGCTCGCAGGACCCGGAGGAGCGGAGTTCTCCCGAAGCAGCCTCCGAGAGCCCTCGTTGCGCATGCTCGGGGGAGGCCGATTCCGGGTCCGGAGTTGGAGGCTTTGGGCGGTCGCGGCGTCGCGCGCGGTGCCGGGGCCGGCGGGGAGGCGCGCGCTCGGGGCGCGGCGCCGGCGACGCTGCCACGCAGCGCGCTCCCGAGGAAGGGAGGTGTGGGGTCGCCTGGGGGTGGCGCGTGGCCGGGGTGGGGGTGGGGGGAGGGTCGGGTGTCGGCGAGCTCGGCGTGCGGGTTCCGAGCGTCTGAGGCGGCCTGGGCTGCCGGGGCCGACGCCTGGGTGGCTGCCGCCGCCGCGCCTGCTGAGAGATGGCGATCTTGGGCGCGGAAGGGTGAGGGCGCCCGCCGCAGGAAGAGGTGCCGTGCAGTGGCCGCCCGGCTGCCGGGAGCCGACAGCTTCGCGCCGGGTAAGGACTGCGCGGCGCGGGGCTGGGGGCGCGGGGCTGGGGACGCGGGTGGGGAGGGAGGGGGCGCGGGCTCCGAGCTTCGGCCGCAGTGCCCGGCACCCGGCGCCGTCCGCCCGCAGGCGGGACCCTCCAAGGGCCGATGGGAGGACGGTCCGCCCTGCCTTGGCTGCCTTCTCCAGCCCGGGAGCCGGGAGTTTTCTGGGGTGGGGTCACGGGTCTTGCCCCGAGTTGGCCCTGGCACAGGCCTGTGCCAGTGATCCTGGAGCGGAGCGAAGTGTTTCCGTGACTCTGCAGCCGCAGTTCTTCCTTAGCCTTCTCTTCGCCTTCCTTCACCTTTTCCTAACACCTCACTCAGAACACAAATGGACTCATTGCCCGTGCCCTGAGCTTCACCCCAATTTCAGCGTTGCAGACCAAGGACTCCAGCCTCGAAATGCCTTTTTCTGACAGGTTTTTGTCACTCCCGGTTCTTCACCGACTCTGCAGCTCCCCTCCCTGCCCCCCCACCCCAGCGCAACCCCCACCTCTACCTTTTGTGACCTGGTAGGTCCCTGTGACCTTGCAGATTTTAGCAGTTCTTATCTTGTCTGTGACTTACACACTTACCTTTAATCTTCCTTTTCTTTTTTAAAAAATTTCATTTTGTTGTTTGCTCCTTATCTTTACGACCTTTAAATGGTCAGTCTTGTTCACAGTCCTCTGTTCTGTGGATTTGGAGTTTTCTTTGCTCTGGTAATTATATGAAACCTTCATTACCAAAGAAGAGTAGCATCTGTTGTAATTTTGACATTCACTCTTCCAGTAAAACATTTTCCAGGGGCTTGATTTTGCTTTCTTTTTCTATTTGATAAGTTTAACAAAATTTTTTTTGTGTGTAGGTTAATGTGGAACAAGATTTTGTGTTTCTGCTTTAAAATGTTACTGGTAATAGTAGTGGGGAAAAAAAATCATATCCAAAGTTGTCTTTGTTTTCCCCGTTTGGTGTTTTTGCCAGAAATACTTGCTTTACAGTTATCTGCAGGTTTTTTTTCTTTCTTTTTTTTTTTCAAGAGTTCATGTGTATTTGTAAATCCGTTTTACCTGCCTCACCAAATCTGTGTGTGTTATGCAAGCAAAGAAAGTCATTCTTGTATTGTGTGACTTGTTTTTAGCTATCAAGTTGGAAATTAGCTGCGACTAGAAATGATCATTTTTCATAAATAGTTAATATTTTTAAAATGGAAAGTATAATGGCCAAGTGTTGGGAGCTACTCAGATTGGGAATTGTAAAGTATGTGTAATAGTTCTTTGAAACCTAGCTTATTAACATTTTCAGATAGTTCTTACCTTAAAATGCAAAACTGCTGGTAAGACCTACGACATCAGGGTTTTGAAAAGCAATAATTATTAGTTATGTTTTTTGGAAGTCAGCATAATCGAGAATGTCACAGATAAAGTCTCTGCCTGCAAAAAGATAGTAATCTTTGCTGTTTACCCCACAGTGGCTGAAATTTCCTTTACTTCCTCGTATGGTTTTTAGGCATTTACTGCATAATTGTGGGGGGTATTTTGGGGAATACAAAGATGAACTGATTAGCAGTTTCTGCTTTTACACTAATTAGGTACATAGTGCTATACACAAATGCCCTATTTGTCTTTTAATATATACTTTTCATAAACAGTCTCAAAATCCTCTCAAAAGTCAACTTCAAAGAAAGTAGAGCTCAGATCTTACTTGGCAAGGTAGGGATAAGAGAGTTAGTTTGTAGAGCTTCTGGCTTTTGAAATCATGGTTTTGAAGGATGACTATGACTTTGGATAGATAGGAAAGGTAATCCAAGCAGGGAGGGATCTCTAAGAGAGCACAGAGTTCCTGTTTGGGGAGAGGCAAGTAATTATGTTTGGGTGGAACATAGTGTTATTTGTATTTGGATAAAGGGTGATAAAACATGAAGTAAAAATTTGGAACAGTTTATGGGTTGTTTTTATTTATTTATTTATTTTTTGAGGCGGAGTTTCACTTTCGTTACCCAGGTTGGAGTGCAATGGCACAATCTCGGCTCACTGCAACCTCCGCCTCCTGGGTTCGGACAATTCTTCTGCCTCGGCCTCCTGAGTAGCTGGGATTTACAGGCACGCGCCAACATGCCCAGATAATTTTTGTATTTTTAGTAGAGCCAGGGTTTCACCATGTTGACCAGGATGGTCTCGATCTCTTGACCTCGTGATCCAGCCGCCTCGGCCTCCCAAAGTGCTGGGATTACAGGCTTGAGCCACCGCGCCCGGGTATGGGTTGTTTTTAATGCCAGGCTTATGAACCTTGGATTTACTAGGTGGTGGGGCTTCCACAGATGATTTTGAGTTGTGAGTGAAACAATTTGAACGCTTTGTTTCAGAAGGATTAGTGGGATAGCAGCCTGTAGTGTGAATTAGGTAGGGAGAGCCTGGAGGTAGAAAGACCTCCCAGGTATTGTAGTCATGGGTAGTGGGGGGACTGAGGTGTGGTGCATGTGAATGGAAAGGAAGAAAGGAAGTAGAATAGCCAAAATGTGATGACAGGGCAAATGAAGAAAGTAAAAATAACTGATTCTGATCCAGGTTGGTTGGGAGAACGTGGTACCATTTTGAGCACAATCATGAAGCTTTACCCTCAGCATAGGTGTGCTACTTTACAACCTTTTGGGGATTAGTAATTCTTGGTGAAACTTAAGAAATCTGCTGGCCTGGAAAACTTCCATATATACCTGTGCTTTGTGGCTATAATTTTAGGGGAGTCCATGCACCATCTGAAGCTCATCCATGACACCCATCTCAGAATTAGTTGGAGCTTTTTTTTTTTTTTCCCCTGAGGCAAAATTTCTTTCACTCCTTCTAGGCTCAAGAGATTCTCTTGCCTCAGTCTCCCGAGTAGCTAGAACCACAGGCTCTTGCCACCACACTTGGCTAATTTTTGTATTTTTTTTTGTAGAGATGGGGTGTCACTATATTGCTCAGGCTGGTGTTGAACTCCTGAGCTCAAGTGATCAGCCTGCCTTGGCCTTTGAAAGTGCTAGGATTACAGTGTAAGCCACTGTGCCCTGCCTACTGGGAGCTTTTTAAAACCGTAGAACCTTCAGATTCTTCTATATACTGATAAGAACTCTTACTGTAGAGATATGCTGTATATATACAGAGATACAATATTATATTTTTGTTGTGGTTTACAGTTTACAGTGAATTTTGACTAATGTTATTTACTATTATATTACAGGAAAACTAGCCCAAGAATTTAAATGATTTGCTCAAAGCATCATTCAGCTGGTGGGTAAAGTGGAATCAGGAGATTGTTAACAATGATGGTTTTCTTTCTTGTATGAAGATAATGTAATGGCTTTATCATCAGTTGAATGTAGTTGCTGCCTTTAAATGACCTTGTCAGCAAGACTAGATAATCCCACAAGATTCCTTCTAGTTCTTAACATTTTGTGATTCTTGAGTCCTAGACTTTTATCAGAGTATCTACCCTCCTTGTTTAATAGTGCATGAGAGCTGGAGTCTGAGGGATGAATTGGGTAGAGAAGAGCAGTTAGCAATGTCAGAGCTTTCATTTGGATTGTTGCCTTCTTTGTCTTAATTTGGGCTGGGGGTTAGGGAGGAGGCAGGTGATGTAAGTGAAATAAGAAACTTTAAGAACTTTTTCTTCTCTATTCATTTATACCTTACTTCCGAATACTTTCTTTCAGAAGGCTTTGTCAAATAAAAATGGAGACTTTACAAAGTAAATGAAGATTCCTATTCAGTTATTTTTGGATGGATTAAGTAGCTAACTAGTATGGTTAAAGCATAGTGTGATTGGTAAACTGTTGACCTTTCTGTACCTATAAGATTATCTCCCTGGTAGTAGGTAATCATAGCATGTTATTACATGTTAATAAACTTTGATTTTGTAATTATTAGAAAAAAAAGTTCTTTTTTACTCTTAGAATAAAAAATATGATATAATTATAATGAGCAATGAATAACCCAATAAATTTTCCTTTATAGTGGTATCCAGGGAACTAGTTACTAATACTTAATGGAGGAAAAATGATAAAAACACTTGTAGAGATGAATTTCACTGTTTTTTCTGGCATTATGAAGAGTATCTATTATACTGTATGTTAGTATAGCATTTCACATTTTTAAATAGTAACTATATATATATATATATATATAATAAATGTTTTGAGATGGAGTCTCACTCTGTTGCCTAGGCTGGAGTGCAGTGGCATGATCTTGGCTCACTGCAACCTCTGCCTCCGGGATTCAAGTGATTCTCCTGCTTCAGCCTTCCATGTAGCTGGGACTACACCATGCCCAGCTAATTTTTTTATTTTTAGTAGAGATGGGGTTTTCCCATATTGGCCAGGCTGGTCTTGAACTCCTGACCTTGTGAACCACCCCTGCTTGGCCTCCCAACATGCTGGGATGACAGGCATGAGCCACCGTACCTGGCCTAAAGAGTAACTGTATTATCATTTGGTTCTCATGACAACTGAGAAATAGGTGTGTTGGTAAATAATCGTTGCTTTATATTTTATTTTTTAAATTTTATTTATTTTTGATACAGGGTCTTGCTCTGTTGCCCAGGCTGGAGTTCAGTGGCAGAGTCATGGTTAAACTGCAGCCTTGACCTCAGCCTCTTGAGTAGTTGGGACTACAGGTTTATGTTATGACACCCAGCTAAATTTTTAAAGTTTTTGTAGAGATGAGTCTTGCTATATTTCCCTAGGCTGGCCTTGAACTCCTCGACTTGTGTTCCTCCCTCCATGGCCTTCCAAAGTGCTGGGATTATAGGCGTGAGTCACTGCACCCAGACTGCATCCAAATCTTTTTAAGGTTTAGGCTTGTAAGTGGCACAGTGTCATTTCTGCCTCATTATACTGGTTAAAGTAAGTTACAAATCTAGCCCAGGTTCAAGGGTACAAATGTGTGAGTCCATTTGGGGTCACCAGTGTGACAGATTACCATAAATTTTATTTAAATATAGCATCAGCTTTATT